CTCTAAGCACCCATGAATGGGGCAATAAGTACACACTAGTCATCATTTATTTCTAATAAGTAGTTGCGATAAGTAACTTGTCATAATTTATTTCTAATAATCAGTCGCTATTTGATGAATTAAGCCGCACAAGTACGACTACTCGTTCGTGCTTCGGGTGAATAAGTTGTAAACTAAAATATATTGATTTGAAACTGAAATAAGAGGGTCATAGATTTTTTTCTAAGATAAGTGAAGAAGACAAAATTATATTGGAACAATTAACAAGATATATTTAACAACAATAGCCGTTAGTATGTTATGTTATTTATGAAATAGCTTGATATATGTTACTAAATAATGCAACTTGGAAAAAGAGGATGAGATCCCATCATAATCTCTAAGTAGGTTATTAATCTTGATACCCATCTAGTGACTAGCTATTAGATCTATTATCTCCCCATATTTTTTAAATTGGTGGATGAGATTCAATCAGGACAATTTTGGATGAAAAATATGAACGCCGCCCTCTCCCTACGTCCTCGTACTGTCGTAGTAACTAAGAGGGTCTTAAATATCATTGTCTGATTTATTTGCTAGAGAGTTGCTTTCCTTTGTTACAACTTAGAAGTGAGTGGTCTCGATTATGCTTTACCGATCCAGGGCTGGGCCAACCCAGGCTCCGGCCCAGCCCTCATTCGGATCCAGAGTTAGTTTAGTGGTTATAAACTTTTTCGATTTAGGGATTTGGCACAGTGCTATTTAAAATTCTGTCTAGTTTTATTTGATAATAGGATTTTGTGTAACTAGGAAAATGGTTCAGATGAACATATCCAAACCATTACTCTAAATTTATACTAAATTTTCTATAGCCACAATGATTTTATTTGAAAAATGACATGAAAACCTAAAAGTGTAAAGTTTCATTAAAATAAAATAAAAAAGTCTAAACTAAAACACACCCTTCCTTGCAAAATTCAAAAAATTTCTCAATCCCCCCAAAACAAAACAAGAACGAGGAGACGAGCATACCCAAAATGGATTTCTCTGCCAGGCCGTCGAGCTGGTTTTCTTTCCATTCTTTTGATTAAGAAAATATTTACAAACTTGTTGAGTCATCATTTAGATTGCCTCAATTGAGTGGGGCACTAGATTCTAACCGTTCTTTCTGGTGTTTTGATGAAGCAAATATTTACAAACTTGCTCAAGAGTTTAGCCTCGAGACTTTGAAGGCTATGAGATGCATTCTTTGGAGAATGCACTACTCATGTGAGGAAGATGAAGTTTCTTCTCTTGCAAAATTATTAGAGAAGCTGGAGGAAATAGGGATGGACACATAATACAAATTGATTTGTCGGTTGATTAGTCTAGTGTTGACCTAGCCGTTTTAACAACTACCATGAAGAGAATATTTTCAGCAATGAAACATGAACATTGATTTGTGCAACAAAATGAGCGATGAATTTCTCGTTGATTACTTAGCTATTTTCTTTGAAAAAGAGTATATTATCAGTATGGATGGAGATTGTATTATTGATGAATTTGCTAAATTAAAAGATCTTCTTGTACAATTGGCGTTGTAATGAAAACTATATTATTATATATTTTTGTTTATGATATCTAATATTCTATTCAAATACGGCCCAATGCTCTCTTATATCCTGGATCCGCCGCGGTGCTTTACGCTAATGAAGGACACAAAAGGCAGTTGATCATAATTATATTAGGGTATGTTCCCCTCGTGTGATTACCAGTGGATCATCATCTGTCTATATAAAGATGCACCCTATGAAATTTCACTTTCCATTGCTTCTTCTTCTTCTGCTCGTCCCTTTCCTATCGAGCTATCTAGGTAAGAAAGTGGAGGACATGCGTGTGACTCAAAATGGGGAATAAAGTAGAGCTAGTAGATTCTGCCTCCTCTTTCTCTTTAACCCTTTTTGTTCGAGTGCTAGCGTAGTATGTCTTTTATGGACTATACATCTAGCTAGAGAGACAAGACAAGAGGCTATTGTTTCGATCTATAGAATGGAATCATTGTGGGTGGAGAGGAACAAGGTGCTTGATCGATTGGTGAAGAAAAGGACATATACCTTGTTTTGCAAGGATGACTATCCAAAGGGCACTAGATAGGAATGAGACACCAAAGCATGTTAGGATCTAGGGGTGGCTATAGCGTCTGGTCCAGTTAAATTGGCTCGAATTGATCTGGTCTCAGTCCGATCTTTTCGGGAATATAAGGACCAAAGATTGGATTGGATATAGTCCGGTCTTGATCCTGTCCGGTCTTGACTCGGTCCGATCCCAATTCGGTCTTGATTTTAGATTGAACTTGTAGGGATTTGAGTGGCCTGAGGACTCAAAGAGTGAGGAGTTGGTTAAATTTTGGGTGTTGGGCTTCTTATCCGGGTTTTGATCCGGTCCCAAATGGTTTTTTTTACCTCAAATCTAAACCCGAAGATTGGATTGGATTGTTTGCTATCCGGTCCCGTTCCGATTTCGATCCGGGTTCAGATAAAACCAAATAGCGCGGACCAAATAGCCAATCCTAATCAAGAAGATAAATACACTCAATGGTCTATACATTATATAAATCTCTTAAAAAGTATTGTTATCTTAAAAAGTATAAAAAAAACCATATGTTTAAAATTACTGTAAATGATAGCAATAGTTGTGGGACTTTTTCACGTTTCATTACTCACAGACCCGGACTCGGTCGAGTTAGTGAGTCAAGGGCTAATGGGTCACCCGTTTTAGTCCGGAAATATGTAAAGAGTCATTATATTGTATTTATCCTGATAAATTTTATCAAATCTCATCTAACATATGAGTAATAATATATAACATTGCACCAAAATAACATGTTGTACTTAGATCCAACATATAGTGAAAATTCACACACACTTATATAACATCAATATTCAAATATTTAGCTTAGGATTCCAAACATTGAGTTAGGCGAAAAGAAAAATCTGAAAATATGCGCATTTTGCAAACTAAAGAAAAAAATGACACAATTTAACCTCCAACCCGGTACCTTGTAGCGGTCGACCAGGCGGGTGTATGCGGTCCGTTTTTCTCACCGGATCAGGGTCAAAGTGGGCGACCCGCGAGTTGACAACCTTGCTCACAAGTCACAACTTTTAAGCCACGGCTTTTTACTAATAGTACTGGAGCATATTTGTGCCACGCTCAGCTATGGCAGGTGTAGGATTGTTGAATTGGAGACACTGAGCTGATGGTAAGGCTGGCTATTTGGTCCGGGTTTTTTGATTTTACCAGAAACCGGACCGTATAACCCGGACCGAGACCGGATAGTAAACAATCCAATCCAATTTTTGGTCTTAGATTTGAGGTAAAAAATCGTTCGGGACCGGATCGAAAACTAGATAAAGACCGGATAAGAGAGCTCAACACCGAAAACTTAAGGGTAATTTTCATAAACGGTCACAAACCTTTGCACTTGGTACAAAACTTAACCAACTCCTCACCCTTTCAGGCCTTAGGCCACTCAAATCCACACAAGCTCAATATAAAATCAAGACCGAATTGGGACCGGACCGGATCAAGACCATACTGTATCCAATCCAATCTTTGGTCCTTATATTAAAAAAAAAAACGGATTGTACTGGATCAATTTGGGCCAATTTAACCAGGACCGGGCCGTATAGCCACTCCTAGCTGATGGATCGGTTTGACAAGCTGGGGCAAGTCCATGGAATCCACATGTTTCCATCACAAATCTCTTCACCAAAATTTGGATTTGACAACCTTTAATGGATATGGGGGATTATGAAACAACTCGCCTCCTTTCACTTAAATAAATGAAACACTTTAGTGTGTTTCCAAACTACACGCTGGCAAGGAAATCCTAGTCAAGGGTTTTGACACTAATGTTTGTCAAATTGAGATGTTTCTAATCAGTATGATCCTTGACGATAAATGAACCTAAGAGAGTTACAAAGATATAAACACAAGAACCATAAAAAAAACATAGTCAACAATATGCTTCCGGAAGACTAACCAAATTTTCATTTACAAATATTTACTATAAACCTTGATTTCAATCAGCTAGATACCAATTTGCGACCTATATATCGGGTTACAATTGTACCTTTTTTTGCCACTGAATGAAAAGAAACCTAGAAAAAGATTAAAGAAAAGAAACTAAATAGTTGCAGCTTGGATTCATATTCTTCCAAATCCTTTTAGATGTGCATAAAAGTTTCTTCCCCGATGACAAGTCCTCTTTGTAAGGAATTCTCTGGTGATAAGTTGCGTTGTGTGTATGAAGAAACGAAAACAAGTGGTGAAAGAAAGTAGGGTTGGAAAACGATGCAATTTGTCCTGGATCAGATTATATATATGGTCTCGGTCCAGATCGAGGAACTAAACTAGGAATCAAAGTCTATACCAGATTATAACAAAGACATAAAGTCAAACACAACTCAGCTTCCATCATAGCATAATAAACCTTGACACAATGTGCCATATGAAGACATGATAGTATTTGCTCTCTAGTGGAGTGGGGTCTCAGCCTCTCAGGAGGAGGAAGGAGGGGACAGGATTCACAAAATTAGAATTGAGACTTGAGTTTTGTAGGGAAGTAGGGAAATTGGTTGCGTAGCTGCTAATACGAATTGCGAAGTGAGCTTCAAAGCTTGGTCCATAATCTGATATGATAAACTGCGGTTTATACTAGACCATATCAAGAGATCAAAATAGCTCATTGTGCAAACCATAGCCATTTTTAATAATCTATATCGTCCATACCAATGTATAGTTCAATTTGATTCACGAGTTTTCAAACAGGATGATTTATTTTTCCATCCGAAAATGCTTTTCTTTTGAACTCTTTATTTTTCAATCAATCCAAATAAAAGCAAAGTGAATGCCACGACTGCTGGTTGGATAGTTTCATTTCATCTCTTTTCTACCCCCTTGGATGGGGTACAACTCACTGCAATCAAATTTCATCCCTCCTTTCTCTCTTTACACCACAATCAAACAAAGCCTTTGACTTTTGGCTTTTGCCTTTATTACCGGAGGAGACGCACCGACGACTAGTGGGATACCAAACCCCACTTACGCCCTCTTTCGGTGGGGAGTTGCCGCATACGCCCTCTTTCGGATCTGGTGGTGGTGCCGATATTTTACACAACGCATCCGACGAAGGTAAGCGGTGTGATCGGGCGCGCTAACGTGGTCCTCCGGATCCGTAGTTCCATTGTATGTTGGGAGTGCGGGTGGTACTCCGTTGATCTGCTCCATCATGATGTCTGCACTGAGAGGTTGTCGGATCACAGGCTTTCGCGGCGCTCGGTAAAGAGGTGAGAGGTGTTGCTCCAGAAAGTCTAAGTTCGCCCTCGGCCTAGGTTCTTGGCTTTGTGGCGCGCTGTGTTTGGCTTCCTTTCTCACGGGAACGGGGTTTGGTATCCCACTAGCCGTCGGTGCGTCTCCTCCGGTAATGAGGGCTAATTTGAGTAGGGAGACACTAAGTATTAGTTAGGGTGTTTGAGTAGGATTGGCAAGTGACGCGCCGAGAGATATATTATTATAAAGGCGGAACGGATAGGTTACAGAGAGAAAGTGTAGATAGAGAAAGTTAGAGAGAGAATGGTTTTTGTCTTTATGGTCGATCTCTTTCTCTCCGTAGTAAATGCTGTATATATATGCTCTTGTCCACACACTTTTGGCTTTTGCCTTAATCACAATTCACAATTATCGACCATACAAATCTTTTCCCGGTAAAGAGACTTGCAGCCAAAGCAATAATAATAAGAAGTTTTGTGGGGACATGTCTCTAGGGTTTGACAAACAAATTCCTTGCAGAAAACTTATCTCCATCTAAAACTCCCTCTAAGAGCAAGTCAATCCGTCCTGAATAGATGCTTACGCTTCAGATTTAGTATCTTTAGTGTTTTGTGGAACTCGATTAAAACTCTACCTACCCTATGACCAATCTTCACATTTCCATGCTTACTAGAGCCTACGGAATGTCTATCACAGCAATCCATAGATCAAACAGAACTCTTAAAAGTTTACTATGTTCATCTCAATAGGTAAAACTTGGGTGGTCTGCTCTGCTTGCCATTCTGCACCTGACTGCCCACTTGCAGGTTGACAAACTGATCTCAAAACACAGTCGATTCACGAGTATTAAACAGTGCATTTCAGTGGATGGTTCTCGCCGTTGATCTGATTGTGGATTCCTTCCACACTCAGCGAGGAATCATATACTATACAATCATCACTTGCCACTGAAGTATAAAGAAGAACCAGGAGGCGGATAAATAACATGCTGTCACATTGCTAATAAAACCACATTGCCTTGCATCACAAGGTTCTCCCAAATCAGAAGTCATACCAGAAGTCAAAATCACTAGTATCTTGATCTGCTCCTTCTCCTGAAAATGTCAAACGGATTGCAGTCCATCAAATGAACTGAACAAAATAGAACAGAATTAACAGCAAGGTTAGAGCGAACATGACACGTCCAGGAGGTAAAGAAGAACAACTACTACAAACAACAAACCCTTTCAACTGCCAGATGAGAACTGTGTCTTCCTTCTGATACCAACAAGATTGATCCAGTGAAAACGGTAGTGATAGTGCAAGTCCAACAAACGACATAGATAAATGGAAACCATGTGCTAAAAAGAAATGTACTTGACCAGTAATAAAAAGGTTAGTTACCTAGAGGAAGAAGGCATCAGAAAGTTCATTAGGGTAGGCGTCACCCAGTGCATAAATACGTTTTTCCAGAATATCAACATTCAAGGAGTCACCTCCTCCGGATTCATCATCACTTGCTTCTTCTTCCCCTTTATCTTGTCGGGACAAGTACGGGGGCTCGTCTGTTGGTGTCACGACCACCATTGGAGATAACAAAGACACTCTGAAAACTGACAAAGCCAGCTGGTCACAATCGCAGGATATATACACCACACAAAATATGCTGCTCAAATGCCCATCGTCGTCCTGCTCATCCTCCTCCAACAGGTCAATCACTTTGCAGTCACCAAGTGGGCGAAATCCAGCCGGTAAAGGATCCCGTAGATATTGCAAATCGGACATAACTCCGTCAAAATCAACCACTGCGGCAAAGACACGATCATACCTATCAAAATGACATTCGGTACCAACGACGATGAAATAACTATCCTTCTTTCCCTGGCCGATATCACTTATTTTGGTCTTCTTGTGATAGGGGCCACTGCTGGTTAGCAAACTTGACAACGTCATGGCTGGCGGAGGGAAGAGCCTGAAGCCATCTTCGTGATACTCCCAGCTTTGTGTATGGGCATCAAAGATATGAAGAAGCTCGCCACCACCCATAGAATGCTAAGCCTTCTGTAGCTCGGGAAGCTCGAGAGCTAGCTCGACTCGGTAGGTTGTTGAGCTCAACTTCGTGAGCTGTCTCGTTTAGAGCTCGCAACGTTGTTGCTAGAGAGCCGACTCGATTACCGACTTATGAGCGAATCGATCTATATGAGTTTGATTTCGATAATTCATAGGATTTTCTAATGATGTATCTCACCCTATATGAAGTTTAACACGTAGATTATGTGAGCAAATGTCTTATTTAATTTTAAAAAGAAATTATGAATCATAGATTGTTTTGATACTATGAAAAACATAATTTTGACTAGTTAAAATTTATTTACTAAATAAATGATACCATAATGTATAACATGAGATTAATTAATATTAAACACTTACTTTTTTTATCTTGACATTAATCACATGTATCATACATGACATATAAAATGAATATATCAAATATGAGTCAAGATTTTAGTAAGCAAGCTAGCTTGAACTCAACTCGGCTCGTTAATGGATGAGCTCAACTCGTTTATTAATGAGTCGAACTCAAACCGGTGTAAATATCAGCTCGGCTCAGCTCTTTTCCAAGTCTAGGTTAGCCTGAATAGTATACAATAATGAATATATTAAATGCTCGGAAATGCTGCAATGTCTATGTATAATGTGCTTAGAATATAAGAATAAAAAGAGAAATAAGGTCTAAGAAATTAATGGAATTATTCAATGAAAAAGGAATACAAAGTAATTAATTGTCTTGCAATACTTCAATAGACCATATAATTGAACATTAGATGTGCTTCCCATAATACATTACATAATCAACCTTTTATTTTCTCCTCTTAGTTTTGAGCAAGATCATCTTCTTTGGCATGTTCCATCGACATGCTCTATGTGTAAACTTAATCGCATGTTATGAATCTAATTAGGCGTCCATCCTATCTTAGAAAGTGAACTGTTTTCATAACCTTAGAGCATTTCAGTAGAGAGAGCTAAATACAGAACTGAACTTATTCCACTTAAGCAAGATTGCGATCAAGGGTAAATGTGAGCATGAATTTCAAACCCCTTACTTGATAAGTTCAAGAGGATTCTTAGGGTTAATTAGCATAAACGGTCACAAACTTTTGCAATTAATTCAAAATGATCACAAACCTTTAATTTGTAACGATGTGGTAACAAAAGTTTAATATTGTATGAAATGGTGTCTGCTATTTAATTTGTGACCGTTTTGTGTTAATTGCAAAAGTTTGTTACTGAGTCGTTACAAATTAAAAATTTGTGACCGTTTTGAGGTCGGATTTTGTGTTCGTCAAGTATATGACACTAACCACTTGAAGAACATATGAGATGTCGGGTCGTTTATTCATCGATATACTTGCTTTGCTGAATAAGAATGGCCTATGCTTACTTTTCAATTTCAAGACAGAGAAAGAAAGAAAGTAGACTGAGTTTTTTCAACTAAAAAACAGTCTGTAACCTGTTTGTGAGTCATTGAATTCCTTCACTGACATCCTTTGTTACGATCATATCATTCACATAAATTAACAAAGACATCATACCTTGACTGGAGCGAATTGTAATAGTGATTGATCGTTCAAACCTTTGAACATTGTACAAAACAGTCACCAAAAGTTTAATATCAAAAGTTTGAACTTGTATGAAATAGTCACCACTGTTTAATTTTTGACCATTTTGTGCTAAGTAAATTTTTTTTGTTATCATATTGTTACAAATTAAAATTTTGTAACCATTTTGTATTTAGTGCAAAGGTTTGTGAACATTTATGATAATTACCTGAATTCTTTATCATTTTAACAGAAAAAAAAAATTTATGCCTACAAATGGCAATCTAGAAGATACCCTTTAAAACAGGATCCTGAACAGTACTACCACGTTAAAATGCATTAGCAAGTTCATCAACATCACTCAAATGCAATTTGCAAAGTGGGTCCCACTTACTAAAATAAATTTACACCCTTCTCAATTGAAAAATTAATAACCAAGAAAAAAATAATTACACATATGACATTGCTAGAACAATTACTAATTCAGAAAGAACCCCTCCATCTCTAACCATTGCCATGATTTTGCCACATAAACTCTATCTCACTTTACCAATTGTTAAAAGTTGGTAATGAAGATGGACTAAGTACTTTTTTTAAATGGTTTGTTCATTAAGAATGCTAACGGGTCAGACCCAAATGGAAAAGTACAGCAAGGAAACAACCAACAATGAAAGCCAAAACAAGTGGCCCAAAGCAAAACACGGTCCAGAACCCAATAGGGCCCAGACTAAGGTCAAACACCCATGTTCCAGCCACAAACCCTAGTCGTTTTCTGCCTCTCATGAATCCTCCACCCCCGACGTCGAAATCTTCGCTGCCGCTTGGTAACATCGATGGCAAAAATATTTGTAACCGTGGATATCCGCCCGAATCCGATCTAATTGGATAGGGTAAAACTCGAACCCGAAAGACTTTTAGTGAGTACGGGTAAAATCCGAACCCGAATATTGTGGGTAATGGGTGGGCATTGTTTTCTCACTATCCAACCCAATCTCGCCCGATTATGCACATGCATGTGTATTTAGTCTAGAAATAATCAATTTTTTCTCTAACATATTTTATATATAGCATACAAATATAATATTTTCATGAAATTGTGTTGTTTTAATTAATTTTCTTCATTCTAATGATTTATTGTTATACGTTTCTTCTTATGTAATGTGACTATATATGTGAATGTTAACATATTGGTTGGAGTTTTAGAGAGAAATTATTATTCATGGTAGTCGTGGATACCCAAAGCCCGAACGGATATGGAAATGGTTTTGATTTTCTATACATTTCTTAGGTGAGTATGGATATGGATAAAACCCGAACTACTTCGGATAGAATAACGGATATACACTATATGTCCCCGACCCGATCCATTACCATCCTACAAACATGGTTGGATGATTTCATTTCATCTCTTTTATATCCCGTTGGATGAGGTACAACTTCAACCAAATTCCAACCCTCTTTTTTTACACAATGATCAAACAAAGCCTTCTACTTTGCTTGTCCATATACATTTGGCTTTTGCCTTGATCACAATAATCGACTATAGAAATCCTTTCCCCGGGTAAAGGGACTTGCAGCAAAAGCAATAATAATAAAAATGTTTAGTCGGGACATGTCTCTAGGATTGGACAAACAAGTGCGCATGGAAAATTTTTTGGGCAGTTTGGATACAACGATCAATTTAACTCAATTGGTAACAAAAAATTAGAATGATCAATTTATCATAAGAAATTTAAGATTAACTCGTTTTGAGACCATTACAATTGTTCGCGATGGAAGCAAGTAATTTAAATTCATTCGTTTTGTAGAAGGAGACAATTAGCCAAATTATCTTGTTTTCGAATAGATCCATCCAAACAAACACTTATCCCCATCTAAAACGGCCTCCAAGTCTACCGAATAGGTGCTTAGGCTTCAAATTTGTTACAGTAGTGTTCGTGGAACGCAATCGTATCATAATATCTATTTGTTCTTGTCCTACACAGATCATTATTTTTTGTTCTCTGATGGATCGATCGACAACGCGTAAAGTGATACACTCATCCATACGCATTTAGAATCTACATCAAAGCTCAATAAGAAACTCGATCAAAAGTCAAAACTCTACCTACCCTATTACCAATCTTCCACATTTCATGCTTTACTATAGCGTACAGAATGTCTATCACAGCAATCCATAGATCAAACGAACTCTATAAAATTTACAATCTTCATCTCAATAGGTAAAACTTGGGTGGTCTGCTATACCTTCCATGCTACGCGAGGAATCATATATTACACAATCATCACTTGCCACTAAAGTATAAAGAAGAACCACGAGCAGGATAGATAACATGCTGTCACTAACAAAACCGCGTTGCCTTGTATCACAAGATTCTCCCGAATCATAAGTCAAAATCAAGACATTATATACACAAGCTCGTACTTTCTCATTGATGCAGGAAATCACGCTAGCCAGCCAGCCAAGCCAGCCATTAGTATCTTGATCTGGCTCCTTCTCCTGAAAATCTCAAAAGGATTGGAGTCCATCAAACGAACTGAACCAAATAGAACAGAATTTACAACAACGTTAGAGCGAACATGACAGTCCAGCAGGTAAGAAGAACAACTATTACAAACAACAACCCCTTAAACTGCCAGATGAGAACCGTGTCTTCCTTCTGATACCAACAAGATTGATCCAGTGAAACGGTAATGATAGTGCAAGTCCAACAAACGGCATTGATAAATGGAAACCATGGGCTACAAAGAAATGTACTTGACCAGTAATAATGAAAGGTTAGTTACCTAGAGGAAGAAGGCATCACCAATGCCGATAGGGCATACCTCACCCATTGAAAAGAAATGTGTTTCCAGAATTTCAACTCCCAAGTAGGCACCTCCTCTGGGTCCATCATCACTTGCTCCTCCTTCCCCTTTATCTTCTCGGGACAAGTATGGGGAGCCGTCTTTTGGTTTCACGACCACCATTGAAGATAACAACCACACTCTGAAAACTGACAAAGCCAGCAGGGCACGCTTGTTGGCTACATACAGCACACAGAATGTGATGCTGGTACCGTGATCCTTCTCCAATAGGTCAATCACTTTGCATTCAGCAAGTGGATGAAATTCAGCCGGTAATTGATCTGGTAGGAATTGTACATCGGACATAACACCACGAAAATTGCTCACTGTAGCATAGACACGAGCTTGACAAGCTAACTGACAATCATTACCAAAGGCGATGAAATAACCATCAGTCGCATGGACCATACCACTTCCTCTTTCTGTCCTTTGGCTGATTAGCAAACTTGACAAGTTTTTGGATGGCACATAATCCAAGGGCCATTCGTATTCATTGTGAGACTCCCAGGTTTCCTTAACGGAATCAAAGACATGTACAATTTCATCCCCCTCACAAAACTGTAACATAAACAGCCTGGTACCGAGGACACCAACATTGTCCCTCCACTCCCCAAAGAACGAGGAGTATACATCGAAGAAGGGAGGTATAGGAAGTGTCCTCCAACGATACGATTTCGAACAATGATCAAATTCTAAAACCTGGAAAGCTAATTCCGGTTTCTCTGGGCATCCAGGCAACCCAGCGATAGGATCTCCATGAAGCACGTATACTTTCCCCTGGATGTTTGCAACAATCGGTTGTGGCATAGGGATCGGCAGGCGGTAATCAGGGATCTCGCGGAAGCAGCAGGTGGTTTTGTTAGGCAGATCTGAAGGATCAAATTCATAGACTTTGTCACTTGATTGACAGAATTGAGAGGTGTCCTTCATCATGGAACTAATTGTTCTGACAGGGTCTGGGCCTTTCAGAGATATAGTTTCTCCGCCGACCAGATAAACCTTGTTATTAAGCCAGAAGAGGCTCATTCCAACAGGCAAAGCAAAATCACTGTGCATATCCAGCTTACAAACAGGGTTTGATAAGTGGATTTCCCCCACCTTTACGGTATCTTCGAAAACCTTAATCCCCCAAATATATGCATCAATCTCAAACCTCAAGTAAAGGGTTTTACCTTTCCATTTGGGTTCCGTCGCCTGATTCTTCAGGTACTCCAGTGACTCGCTGGTCATCATCACCGGTGCCATTGACCCTGATTCCCCGCCTCTGGTCATCATCAGCGGCATTCAGAACAAGGTTGCCAACCCTCCTAGGGTTTGCTTTCTCTCCTTCCTTTGGCTGAGCGAGGGGTTGTTGATGCAGCGTACGTGGGTAATCAAACGAGAGTCGATTTTGCGAGGAAACCTTCTTTTCTTCTTTTATCGATATCAAAAACTGCCGCCAACTAACAACAAGCAGCCCTATATATAAGGCTTAACAAGAAAATCTAAGCCGACTAGGACAAGGAAAGAGGGAAAAAGGTTAATATTTTCGTATGGCTTGAACTTTGACCAAAATAAATATCTTGGCCAATCTTTTCGATCTATAACATCTTGGCCTGAACTATACACCAAAATAAACACTTTGGCCAAATCCGATGTTTGACCGTTAACTTGGACGGTCAAACGCGTTGACTAACGGTCAACGCGCCACGTCAATGCCAAGTCAGAAGATCTGCTAAATATTAATTTTTTTTGTTTTTTATTTTTGGTTTAACTAAGGTCTTAGATGATTTTTTTAAATCTATAATAATTTAAAATTAGGGAATGTGTGGAAATTGTGAATTATTTTAAATATTTTATGCTGACTTGGCAGTGACATGGCGCGTTGACTAACGGTCAACGCATTTGACCGTCCAAGTTAACGGTCAAAAGTCGGATTTGGCCAAATTATTTATTTTGGTGTATAGTTCGGGCCAGGATGTTATAGATCGAAAAGATTGATCAGGATGTTTATTTTGATCAAAGTTCAGGCCATACGAAAATATTACCAAAAAAAATGTAAAAGTTGTTCAGTTTTGTATACGGTTTTGATGGCTGGCTAATGCAATTGCAGGGCTTTCTTTTCTTGTTGGGCTTTTGTCTTTCATTTGCCCAACGGGCCTTGTAAGAAAGTTAGAAAGCCTTCCAGATGTATTCTGGCTTTCCGGCTCAAAACACCACTCAACCATCAACATTAACTAGTTTGTTATCCGACCCGTTGGTCGGAATGCCATCGATTACAATGTATATATATCGTGTTTATTTAAATTTTTTAAATTTGTTGAAATGTTGAATTTTGTATGACAGTAAGGTGACATCGAAATTATTTTTCCATTTTCGAAATTCTTATAACTTTCCATCAATGATGAACATTGTAAGCTTAATTGTTATAACCAAAGTTGTCAAACCGATTTAACTTTGATGATGTGCTTTGAGTCATTAACGGACACAATAACTGTAATAATAAGCAAATTATCCTTTTTCAGTAATTTGGAGGCCAAAGATTGCAGCACAACTATTTGAAACTCATCTTACCTGGCTTACCTTTCTCTCTAGTTGGTTAACAACTTGTTTAACCTATTATATCCTGTGAGCATCCATCAAGATTTCATTCGGTTGTCTCTATGCTTACTTGAGAACAACCCGGCACACTCAATAATTATGTTGTTTTGCGAACTCAAACTAGTTTGGATTTCTTTTATTCTTTGCTAAGAAATCAAATTGATTAAACTGACAACTAAAATTCAAATGATCAAGTTTATGATAGGTATAGCAAACTTTTCTTTTCTGATAAGTGTTTTCTAAAGGATTAAACTTGCAGTGACTATGTGTGTCCTAATTCATCACAATGAAAACATCTCATAGTTTTTTAGTCTAAATTCAGCTGCTAATCTTTTCTTGCAATCTCTTTTTGGATGACCCAGTCTATGATGATAAAAGCATTCAACATTACAATTGAATTTATTATGTGATTCTTTTCTGTTAGATTTGTCATATTTGTACACGTGTGTTTGATATGGCTTTTAGCAATATTCTGAAAATCCAATTTTTTCATCCTCTAAGTTCTTGATTTGATCAGCAAGCTAACTCATTTAATGTCTCATTTAAACTCTTATTTGTCTTCTTCTAATATGCGATGTTCTTCATTGTCCCGTTTCAGTTTAGAGTACTTGTGTTTTACATTTGCAAGCTCTAGTTGAATCTCCCTTATGGCCGTGCCTAGTTCATCAACATCATCATCATCATCACTCTAGTATACATACCTACTCCAAAAATCACAACCAGGGATACTTCATTACTAATGTTCTCAAGTGCCATATAACAAGCTTCACATTCTCCTCCTTCACTTTCCTCATCAACATCCTCACTACCGCTCCATCTTATCGTCATTGCCTTTTTCTCCTTTTAGTAGAGCATATCCAGGTTTAATATGACCAAGTCTCCCAAACTGATTCAGACTTCTTCTCATCATTTGCTTATACTGTCCAAGTTTCAAAGACCCTTGATCTTGAAATTCATATTCTAACTAGTCACAGGCCCCGACCAGTTGGTCGGATTCAGTCGCAATCACATAAATAATAATAGCAATTTGAATGCGAGATACACATTTTTTGGTAGTATAATAAAATCTGAATACAATTCAAATACTTAAACATTCAAATTTACTGGTAAAATAAGAGGGTAAATATGATTAGATAATTCAAAAAGATCAACATCACAATGTTATCCAACATTTTAATGACTCATTGACTAAAATTCTTTTATGAAAATGAAAGACAAACCTTATGTAAGGAACCCGACTCCTAAAGATATTTTCCAAATCATTCTATTTACTACTTGTCGTCAAAGATTACTGCACATTTTCTTTTGACTTGTTTGCATGTCCTACGACATGAGGAACATCATAATCTCCACGAGTAATATTGTCTTCATCTATGTTAATGATACATTTATCTGTATTCTCAATTTCCTCTTCCTTCGTCCCTTGCATTTCAATACTCTTCGAGAATATCTCTTCAATACATAAAACCACCTACTGGTGAGACCAATTATGTTTTATGTAAAATCAACCTATCTTTTCCCTTACTATTTTCAGTCTTTGTAGTGGTTTGTTTTGTCGTAACATGCTACTATTATATACCCATAATAAGAAATTAATAAATTAATTTGATAATTGTCATAAATATATATTTATAAGCAATGATGTTTAATCACTAATTATTGACAATTTGTTATGTCTCTCATAGGCCTATGTTGAAAATATCTGGCATATATCATGATTGTTAAATTATCTAATGTTGACTCATTCTGAACGTGGTGGTTTGTAAACTCTCGATGTAAGACTTTATGTCTCGACTTTTCAACCAAGATACTCAAATTTATTATCTTATGCGGTATATGTTAGCATTATTCTCAAAGTTATGAATGAATAACTCTCAACTAATGCTTATTGACCCTATAGTATATCATGAAATTTTTCACTGAAAATATTTTATCTATGTATAAATTTTGTTTATCCGAATTCAAGGCACAATTGACACATCATCAAAGTTATATCTATCACTGACATGGTATTTTAGTCAATGATTCCTTACTTCTAGCTATGCTCTAGAAATTTACATATTCTTGGTAAATGATTTAAATTTTCTTATTAATTAAAGTAATTGATATGATGGTTATCTAACGAATCGTGAATATATGGTTCCAATCAAGATTGTCACACATATTTATGCCATTGAATCATTCAAACAAATGTTTAATGGTTGGGTAGGGGTCTCATGATTTAAGTCATTTTAGAGGGTAACAATTTAAGATTTAATAATCAGAATGTAATTTGACATGTACCATACTATATATGCTTCAGTTTCCACAATAGTATTCAGAAAAGGGTCACAATATAACATTTTGTATAAGAGTCAGAAATTGTTCAATGCATTCTTTCTTTTCATGCATGTTGCGATTGTTGCTGCTTTTTTTATCTACTCACAAACCCAATTGCAATTGCCCTGGTAATAAAGAAGATAGTAGCCACTGCCAGTTTATCATTTATACTGAGAATTCGTACATATTATTTTTATATTTTTATTATAATCATAGTAATTTTCCAAAGAAATACATGTTATATTTGATGCCGTACAAAATTTCAAATTATTTAATTACTAGAAATATCATAATCGTACAATTTTTTCATGCTAAAAGTAAAAAAAAAAACGCCATGAAAGAATATCGACTCCTAAAAATGTAATCATACCACACTTATGCTCCTCGATGTAAACAATGAATGCTTATTTCAATTGGATTTTTTGTGATTGCTCTGTCATCTAAAGCACCATCATCTCAACCCGTTAGAGTGCTCTCGTCTTCCTTAATGAAAACTTTATCTTCACGATAGGCTCTTCCTTTTTCTTTTGCATTTCATTGGAAGTCATCTTTAATCATACAATGTCTGGGAACACTAAACATTGCACCCAGAAGAATTTACATCGTTCGAGTAAAGAATATTTTATGAGATATGTTATGATCCCTCACATTGATAACCACAACATTTGATAATATATAGATTCAAAAAATAATGATAATCCGTAGGAGAGCTTAGTCAAAGCACAATAAGTAAGGTGACCTACTTTCATGACAATCTAACAAATAATTGAAGGCGGGGGCACAGTTAGGAATAACCATGTAAATCGGGTACCCGAACTATTATAATAGAATTGATAGTTCAGGAATGCTATCATATATGATGCTATGGATGCTTGACTACATATTTTTTTTGTTACAAAATATATTTAAAAGGATGTCATTTTATAGAATATAAGTAATTTGATTTTTTTATTTAGAAATTTATTATCTAAATCAGAACAAATTAAATACGATTAACTAAAAGGTAATAGAGGAGTGGATCGGACTTAAGGTTCCTGTTATCTTTACATACTAGCTTTTTACCCGGCCTGTTGGCCGGTGAGTTTAATTTTACCATTTACATTAATCAATTTATTTATATGTTTAAACTATTTTGGATCTTCTAAATTTTTTACATTTGCATTCCTTGGTGAGTATGCGGTGCGTCTATAAATTAAAAATTCTCAATACTTAACACATTCACTTATAATGCTTCGATTCACTGATCATAAATCATGTCACAAAGATATATCACGTCCCATATAGAATCTTATGTCAAGATTTGTCAATAACGATACTCAATTTTTTTTTGTCTTATACAATATATGTCATCCAATGAATGTCGAGTTTGGAGGAACTCTCAACCAATGATGTTGCTCAGATGACGACAACTTAATATGTACCAAGACTCTCAATATTACATAGATTTGGTCATCCCAATTGAAATTTTACTGTCTTAGTGTAAGATCATATTTGTCTATCAAGACACTCAATTTAATATCTTATACAATATGTACCAATTGTTAATTCCCGAAGTTTAATATAGACTCACCCTCAACTCATGGTCGTTGTTTAAATGTTGGTTTAGAATCTCGGTCCAAGATGCTCACACATTGTGGAGGGTTCTAATCTTAACATGGTCCATTGTTGTATAATTTTCTAACTTATCAAATATGCATTTGTTAAAATTTATTTATCTTTGGTGTTTGTTTTGAGATAAAAAAAAATCCACTACTTATACTAATATCTTCATTTTGTTGGTGTAATGCCACATCTATTGTCAATATCTAAGCATGATCTTATACTCTAAGTAAGAAAATGCTATCTGGACCACGAA